ATTAAAATATACTTTTGCATATACAAGTCCTTTGAAAACATATTTATGGAAAGAAGGAAGTGACTGCATAGATTAACTCAAGACACCTCAGTTTCAGTGGAAATTAAAAAACTGAGGGAAGGTTAAGTGATAATTGGGTGAGCATTCTTTCTTTAAGAACACTGCAAAATTACACTGAGCCGTCATGCTGAAGGTGCAGGACCTAATCCAAAACCTGCTGAGGTCAATTAGAATCTTGATATTTTCCTAGGCTTCAGATTAACTTCATCTTTGTTTTGTAGAATTATATTATGATGGCATGTTTTTTAGCCTCAGATTTCCGTGCTTCTATCTTCCCACTTTTTGTAAATCTCCCAATAATACTAGTTTTAATTTGATGTTCAAATTCTGTTCTTCCCTGTGAGAAATATATTTATAATATGAATAGAAGCTGCTAAAAGGTTATCTGAAGGTAGTGTTCTCATAGCCAAAATATTCTTTCCAAAATTCAAGTTGTATCTGATGGAAATATTTAGTTGTTTGACTCTAAATTATTTAAATAAACCTCTGTTGTTGATAAAAGTGCAAGTTGTCGGTGTGATAGTCTGTGATCATTTAGTTGAACTACCTGTCCTCTTAGATCTTTTTCGATTATTTTGTCCACTATTTTCAGTAATCTTGAAAAATTCTGGATCTGCAGTTCTTGATGCCAAACTTTTTTTAGGCCATATGATGTCTAAGAAAATACTAATCACTCTTATCTGTAACACAGAGTTGCAATATATCATGTTTATCTCTGCTATGCATAGATACGGGTTTAATATTGCATGAAATACTATGACCACATTCAAACAATGGTGTATATGTATGCAGAGCTATATATTCCCAAAAAACTGGGAAATATTTTCTGTATTTCCCCATGACTCCACAACATAATTAAACATACCAGTTTCAGTTCTGAGGGTAAGTTACGGATGTGCTTTTTAATAACATATCTGGCAAGATAGCTATGAATCAAATGAATAAAACAAGACAATTTTTAGCCCTCAAAGTTTAAGTGCTTAGGTGTTTGTTGTTCAGGAATAGTAGAGAGTAGTGTGCTCAGAAGAGGAATTCTTCCTGGGCCATCCCTGTGAATGCAGCCCATATCCTTTGAACACTGCAAGGAAAGTCACGATGAACTGATCACTCTTTTTCAAGCTCCGACTATTCTATAAAGGTTGGTATTAATGTGGCAGTGAAATGTGTGTCGAAAACACGCTGTGGTATATTATTGATAAATTGTAGTAAACTAAGGTGTGTGAACGAAGCCAAAAATGAAAGGGAGAACCTTAACGGTATGTATCTCTACAGCTAGCAGTCTTCCCTCAAAGTAGGGGATGTAGCCTGGCCAACTACCCCTGGGGCTAATTTAGTGAATTTGGAATAGCTAATTCAAAATGTTTGGAATAATCTTATGCAGTGAATTGTGTGCTACTAGCATTTTGATATTTTCTGTACAATAAGGGTCTATTTCATCAGATTATAAAAGAAAATGTTGGCTGCCTATCTACCTGTGTCCAGAGGAGCTTTTGTAACCTGGCTTTATGCACTTCTTGTTCATCATTAAGATTGTCATGTTATTTAGTAACCATGGAAAAGTAGGGAGAGATGCCTGTTGGACGAATTTAGATTTCTCCGGATGAGTGCAAACCAATTTTTGAGAAAAATGAGAAAACATTTCTTAATGTAAATTGTACTGTCACTCCCTTATATCATCAGTGCAAATGGATTTCTTTCCAGATCATCTCAACTGTATAATTAGCATATCATTAAAGCATAGGTTTAAAAGTGCAAAAATGCATACATTTTTCTGATTAAAGTTAAATGAAATTACGTCAAAGCAACTGGTATGTATGACTTGTTGGTCTTACAGAAACAGGTGAAAAGTTTTGGATAGAACTATAGCATTTTCTAACAACCTTGCCACCGTTTTCTCTTAAAATTTTTATTTGAACAATTTTTTTTTTTAAACTACTTATGTTTTGAATAGGAATGATTGAAGGGAAATATGAACAACCGTTGCTCCTAAAATGCTCTGACCCTTCCAAAGGGCTGAGTTGTTTTTAGAAGAAGACAGCTCTCGGAGTCAGCTGTCAATTGTATGTGATTATCCCTGTCAGAGTGTATGTGATGTTGGTGCTGTGATCCCTTTCCACTTTTCAAAAAATCTCTTAAATATTATTTTCTTATTCATATTCTCCTACCGTTATGGTTTATACAGGTAGGGACCAATTTGGTGTGTGAATCATCTGGCAGTCACAGTTTGCTTTCCATTGCTTGGAACTATTTTCTGAACAGTTTTATGCTTTAGACTTCAGAATTATCCTTATGCTATATTACTCAACAACATTTTAAAGAAACAATATGGTTGCTGGTTTTAATTCATTTATCTTGCCTGTGTGTTTAGAGTTTGTATAAAATGTAACTTCTCCATCAAGTCACAAAAAGTTATTGCACTCTTGGGCTCGTGAATTCAAGAAGCATGACATAATAGACTAGCAAATATGGCCTTGTGTCTTCTCACGATGATCCAAATCCACCCACTTATCTTGATCTGCCTATATTGTTAACAACATGGAATGTCACACCACAAATTTTTCATTTTAACTGTTCTTTATGTACGGTGCAGGGTGAAATTTACTTTTTATTGCCTTTGTGAGAAAAGTATCATACCTCTCTGTGAAATAATGGTTTTGTCAGACACTGGTATCTTTATTGTATAGCGCTTTTAAATTCTACACTATTTATACCAAGCTATCTTGACTTAGGACAGGTGAGATGTGATACTTCTGTTTCTCCATGAAAATACTTAAGGCTTTTTGGTTACAGAAAATATATTGTTGATACAATAATTGTATGTGCTGTTTTGTAGGTTACAAAGAGAACAATTTTATTTTTCTAAGTGCTCCATAAATGCGCAAAATATAAGCGGCTACTAGAAACGGCTGACAAACCTAAGGCCTGTACTTACAATCTTAATATTGATTTGCATGCCTCTTCGTACCATCATTATACTAGTTACTAAGCGTATACGTTGATTTGCTGTTTCAGGTTTTACTACATTTGTTCATGAGAGCAAAGAACAGCAGTAATTGTATTGTATGCACTGCTATTGTTTTGTTGTCAGGAGGTCTAAATGGATGATTGTGAAAAAAGTCAAAGAAAGGTACATGATTATAAAACTGAACAGGATCACTGAAGAATCTACACTAGGATGAAAAATAGGTAATGTAATTGTCCTGGAATGGCAGCAATGAGTGGGCTGCCATTGAAACAGATAATTTTCGTTGGTCAAAATATTTGTAGCAGGAAAAGAACAAATTATAAAATGATATTTGTGTATGTTTCAGTGGCAGGTAGTAATTGTTCTGTGGAGTGAAAGGTTTTCTTCTTTGTGTTGCATGTAATGTTTTGGAACAATTGCACTTCTTAAGATTTCAAATAATATAATTTGCCATTTTTTGAGTATATCTAAGTGTTAAAAAAGTATGTAAACAAGTATTCTTCTATATAAACAAATTTTTGATCATAACTCTTTCAAGAGTAAAAGTATGTAATGAAATGATAATTTAGATAAATTCTAAAATGAGAACAATGACCTTAAACTTCAAATAATTTATATTAAAGTAGTCTTCTCTTTCTTTCTGTCCGTCTTTTTACTTTATTCAGAAGATACAGTGACTGAGCTTTGTTTTAACTGTGCTCAAAAATGATATGGGGTATGTATCAGAAACATAATCAATCCCCCATTGCAAGCCTACTTGCTGGAAACAAAAGAGGTACAGCATACTTGAAAAGGATATCCCTTTCAGATGCCAGGGTAGAATATATTTTGCTGTGTGTATTACTAGCTCACCTAAGAAACTCTTAGTTTCTATTGATACAAGGCTCTTTTTCTCCTAGATACTATACTTGTGTGTGTGTGTGTGTGTGTGTGTGTGTGTTTATATATATATATATATATATATGTATGTATATCTACATATACACACGCAATTATTGTCTCCACAGTCTCTCTGGGTTGCTTTCTGTCTGAAAAACGAATCAATAAAATGTGAGCGAAAGGAAGTATTAGTACTTCAGAGTAACAGAGAGATTATGAATGATTTTGGAAGTTCTGTAGGAGTTAGGCTGAGATCCAATTAAACAAGGCCAGATCTTTCAAGATTGTGAGTAGTGTGTTTGCTGCAAGACTGGGTTTTCTCTGAAATGCATATATATCTCCTTTATGCGATTGCTTCTTGGAACTGTTTATTATGATGGGTGTGAGAAAGTGCTATGTAGTAGATAGCAAAGGTTTGAGTTATCGATTTATAGGTATTTCTTAGGTACTGCCTTTTGAATATCCATCTATCTCTAATTTTGTAAAACAATTTCTAGTATTTTTTTTTGGTCACCCAAAGGAAAAAGCAGCATAAGCTTATGGAAAGTATTTAAACATACCATGGTCATTTCTGGCAGAGTTGAAGACTTTATAAGCTGCATACAATTATTTACATTTATACATATATTTTCATCTGTGTGTGTGTAAATGGAGGTGTTAATGATACAACCCAGACATAGCTCTGACTTATTTCTTCTATGAAATGATCTTTTTATTTAGAGCACTAACATATTTAATATTTGCTTGCAAAAAGTGTGAAAAGAATATAAAACTTGTATGCGGTTTAGTATAAAATTATTCTTCATGTTATTAATGCTTTCTTCTTTGTCCACTTTAAGTCAGTATAAAGTTTACGAACATGGAATTTCCTTTTCTTTCGGCATGACCTTGCTCCTACAGCCATTTGAAAGACAAATGCTGTTCTTAAGTCTACGTGCTTTCTAGTTTCAGCTTAAGAGTAACATATAATATGAGATCCGTTGTTTAATCATTTCCCCAAATGACCATATTTTTAGCTTCTCTGCTATCATCCAGGCAACATCCTCCTT